CGTCTCCTGACAGAGTAATCGTGGGAATGGGCGCATTCCCGGCACTTTCCTAGTCCCTTCTTGTTTAAGCGAAGTGAACAGAATGTTGCCTAACATGAACTCTATGTTATTAACGTTCTGTGGTGTATTTGTCTTGTGGATATTAGCAAAAAACGCGGTGTTTAACAGTCAGTCTAGGCCCTAAACTGTTGTTGATAATGAAACCATGTCGATGGGGGCTAGACATTCTAACGACTATCACGTTCTTATACGTAACACCCGAGGCAAATGTGTGCGTAGGAAGCCCTTGTCTGATTAACTGATTGGTTTTCTACCCATGCAGGTCCTTAGTTCCCGGGTGGTATCCTCAAACAAAGACCTGCCGGACTTGATGAACAAATGGCAAAAACTGCAACAGAGCCTCTGAAAAGCTGAAAACTTGTACATTCTTTCATCTTTTGTTATCCTTTTTTCAAATTAAAATTATTTTGCAGAAGAACGCCTTTCAAAAACTGCAGTTTTGATTGCCTTCCCATTCTTTCGCCTGTTGTCGCGTAAAGTAAGGTTATATGGGTGTTACCAAGGTCTTGTACAACTGCCTGTTCTGTGTGGCTATGCCGCATTTGTTTGTAGTTGGCAGTCAATTATATTGTTTGAAGATTTGCTTACATCCGCAATCTTATAAGCTGTGCGACCGATCGAGTAATGAAGTCGAATGCTACCATGTGCCTTATAATATCACAATGGGCGATTGCATTGGTCTTGGTGTCATAATTAGTATAGTTGTTGAGAAGCCTAGGTCAAGGTCTGTTCATTCAAATGGACAGAGATGTGGTTGGATTGGGTGAAGTCTTATCACTTCAATGGGCGAACCATGGCGGAATCCAGATCGAGCTTGTGGTGCTAATAATCCCGCTTATTTTCATCTAGACAAGTAGAAACACAACTGCTCCTGACAGCATCCCTTATGGCTAAGCAGAGCCCTTAACCGAAGACGGGAAGTAAAAATCCTGCAGACTATTGCGACAGCGTTCATCAGATGGTCCGCGAGGACTTCACGAAAACTATCCAAGTAACACGATAATTTTGGACGGTGGCA